AAAAATATTGTAAAATTTGAAAATTTCGGAAAAAAATTTTTTTTGGAAAGATAATTGGAAAAAAAGATTGCAAAGTTTGTAAGCTCGAAATTTTTTGTTTTTTTGTAAAAAATGCTGCTACATATTTTTAAAATATGTTTGCGAAAATAAGTGATTTGAAGCAAAACGAAAAAAGTCGAAAATGCGTTCAAAAACATTAGATTAGTGAAAAAACTTAGATATTTTTGTATTGTTAATTAATTACTAGTAAGTTAAACGAATATATACAGCAAAAAACAAAAACGCGTTGAAATTGAAACGCGTAATAGTCACACACAAAAGAATTTGAAAAATGTGAAGCATACTTTTAAGCGCCAAAAATTAAATTTGTTAAACACTTAAAGTGTACACACAAACACGCGCTAACATAACTATTGAAACGTAAATGTATTTTGGTATTTTTGCAAAAATTTGTCTACATCGTTGTTGTGTTAATTAAAATAAGTCAAAATTCTTTATTTTTTTTAAATATTTTTTTTTTTTATTATTTTAATATTTTTTTAAATAATATTTGGTATGTTTTGCCACTTTAAATATTACTTTGGTGTTTTAGATATATGTATATTAATTGGCTTCTAATTTGTAGTTTGTATAACAATTATGAGCAAAATTAAAGAAAAAAGTATTTTTTWAAATTTTTTTCTTAATTTTGATTCGGCCTTTTAACGAGAAATTCTATATGTTTCCTTTTCAAACAGAAAATAAAAATAATTTGCCTTGTTTTAAAATTTTTGTAAAGTACTGAAATGCTAGACCTACCCGCCGTCTTCGATTCGCCAACTTTGCCCGACTCGTTCRATTTGAACTACACTTTTGAGTGAAACAATAGCTACATTTAAAAGTAAAAAAATCAGATAGCTGAACTTAATACTAAGGGACTTTGTAAAATCCTCATTAAAGCGATAAATAACCTAAAAATTTAAAAATTTTCAATTTATGTTTTTATAACAGTTGTTGTTTGTTTCGCCATGCCCTTTTTTTTTTTTTTGTTTTGGCAATATAAGGCCAACTGAAGTCATAATGAAATAGCTTAACAGCTTACAAATTATACGAGTTCTTATACCAGTTTTTTGTTTGAGTTTGAGTTTTGTTTGTGCTTTAGCATTAAAATACTAAAAAAGTTTGCTAAGTTATACCAATTTTAATACCAGTTCGATTCGCTATTMTGTTTTGTTCTATGTACGGATATCACTTTTAATTGGTGCAATGGAAAGCTAAATTATTTTCGCATTCGCCAACTGTTATTACAGCTGAGTGGTATAACAGCGTGCTAATTTATACCACTTTTTTGTTCGCATAATAAAATACTGCCAGCTGAATCCAAATCGTATAACCGCTTGCTCTATTACACCAGTTTCAACAATCTGAAATTTTTTTTTTTTTGCCAAAACGCAGCTATCTGAATACTTATCAAAGATAAGGGCTTGCTATGATATATTGGTGATTCTACTAGTTATCCCTTTRTTTCACCAGTATATATATTTTTGGCAAACGTAGCCAATTGTACCCATTTTAAGGCGATTGCTGTAATATAGCATTTTTTATACCACTTTTTTTCGATTCACCACTCTCAAAAACTTTTAGGCTAATTGCTATCCTATGAAAGCAGTATAATCGCTTGCTGAGTTAATGCAGATTTTATACCAGTTTTACGTTCGCTTCACCGCGCTAACATTTTCYTTCGAAACRAAACCAACTCTAGCATATTAAATTRGTATAAAAATTCAAGGTGATTTAATCGCTTGCCATAATATAATAAGTAATTTTTATACCAAAAGAAGATTAATATGTGTTATCGCTTGCTGAATTATAGCAGTTTTTATACCAGTTTTTTCACAATTACGACACTAATTTTTTTTTAAGTGGTATAACGACTCGCTAAATTATACCAGTTTTTATGCCAATTACCTCTTCGTATCACCACTTTCCAAATTCTGGCAAATCGAAGTCGACTATTATGAAAAGATAATTTATTAATGCATTTTCTGTAAAAAAAAATAATATTATAAAGCATATAGCGCTTAAAG